TCATGGGTTTCCGGTGACGTAACATTCGGCACTTGTCCCAGCAAGTGTCTCTGTCGGAATGACGTGGATGGAAAATTAGTGGTTGATTGCACGGATGCTCTATATGAAGAAGTGCCTGTTACCAACATACCATGTGGCGCCAAAAAGTTGCTGTTTATAAATAATAATCTCAAGTTAGTAAGTTTTGAGCTGTACATCCGCAAAATTGTTTCATTTTTTTTCTGTATTCGATCCATGCATTCGATAAGGTTTGTTTCATATAAATCTCTTTTTTAATTACGTATTACAATTTTATTACGTATTTAAAAAAGTGTTATAACAAAAAAATTGCGCTTTTTTGCATAGTAGATCAACTATTTAACTTTTCAGAGCTATTACAAAACTCCAAAAAGCCCAGACCATGGCAAAAAAATCATGCTGTATAATGTGTACATGTATAATTAGAAGTTCTCATCAAAGTATTGGATTTTTTTGGCTTGGTACCCACCTCAGAACAAGTACATATTCTCTCCGAAATCTTAGAAAAGTTTTAATCTGAAATGGATGTCGCACTCACATAAGAACTAAAGGGGGACCCATCGGGTGGCTAGGGGGTCGAGTTTCTCAGAGAAGGCGCCCGCTCCTCCCCCCTACCCCCTATATTCGCAACGTAGACCGAAAAATACTTGTAATGGGGCTATAATTCATCCCATGTACTACACAACACCTCGTCATTTTTTCAAATGTTTTTGAATAAAAAACTGATAAATTTGAAAAAGCTAATTATATATCAGAAGCAATAGTTTTTTTATCTGCTCTCAAAATTACAAACTTTACTATACACAATTTCGTTGTTTTATTTTACGTTTTTTTTGTTCAGAAAACTGAGCAGGATGAGTTTCATTGGTCTGCGGGAGCTGGAAGAAATTGACATGTCTGGAAACTTCATATCTTATATCGAGCCGGAATCGTTCGCAGGTCTCCCTTCGCTGCGACGAATCAGCCTCGTGCGGAACGACATGCGGACAATTGAGTCGTGGTACTTCCGAGATGTTTCGTTCGAGCACGTTATGGTGGCGGTAGATGGAAATCCTATGTATTGCGACGAAGACTTAAAAGGCATCAATTTAAATTCAGATCAATTTAAATTCAGTCTATTGAATTAAAAAACTTAAATTTTTGGTTAAAATAATAGATATTGGGTTTCATGACATGTTACTGGATATCTTTTTGTTTGGGTGGGATTGAAGGGGGGGGGGTTTGAGGGATGATGTTGTTTTGTTGTCTGAAAAAATGTCAAATGAAAGATGAACTATGCTACGACACAGTTGCGGATTTGAGGGAGTAACACTTTGCTCCTGAGGGATCCGACCCCTACCAAACTTTTTTGAGAATCCCTCATTTGAGAAATCTTAAATCCGCTCCCTGCTATGACACCTCTTCAATAAAAGTTGGCTGTTTATTTAATCTTAAAATTGACCGAATAGCAAAGAAGGAAACTTGAATAAAAATTGATTTTTTTTTGTCAGAAAACATCAATCTCATTAAGAGCCGCGTGACAGTCGGCGGAATAATCTGCTCGGGAGGTGAAATTTGGCGAGTTCTCGGAAAAGTCAGAGGTCGAACATACGAAGACGTCGAAACCCAAATCCGGAAGAACTTTGAGTCCTGGGAAATGGCGCTTTTGACCTTGTCGTCATTCATCTTTTTCGTCATAGTTCTCTCAACTATTTGCGGGATTTGCAAGTACAGATCTGGAAACTATACGACCGGTGAATATCTGCGACGGGCAAACCGACGACATTCCAATGTTCGGAGCTACGCGGGCTCGGAAGCTAGTGACCACAAAAATCACCATCGTCGTCACCATCACAAATCAGGGGCAGGTTCCAAATCGGGACCTCACTCGGCAAAAGAAAGTCGAAAAATTGAAATGAAATCTGAGGACCACTTCGAGGACGATGATAGTCTAGTTCTCGGGGGCCAAACACAACCCGCATATAGCGATAGTGGAAGCGAACGGGTTCTCAGTCCCCCTGAAAGAAGATATTAACCAAAAACTAACAAACTTGGAGCATAATTTAGTGAGAACATCAAATTTTGAGAAGACTATCGTGGTTTTATTTCTGTGAATCTTTCGTTTCCTTGTGGCTTTAAAATATGCAACTTCTTATGCTTTACTTTATTTCAAAGAAAATTCTAACTTGGGTAATTCCAATTGACACTGTTTGTATTTATTTTTAACTATAACAAGACTGCTCGTATCAGAAGGAAGCCCTGAATGTTCCGACTGCCTTTTAAGGTTTATGGAGCAGTAATAACATAGAAAAAATGAATGTAGTAAAAAAAATAAGAAATTTTTTTCTGAAAATCATCACCCCACACGCCATATAAAGTACAAAACAATAGATTTGTCTGCTAGTAACAATCAATTATGGCAAATAAGCTTCTTTCAACTAATTTGGAAAAATTTCTAAAACGGATTAACTCTCCGCTTACGCGTTAATAGCGCGAAATATCGCGCGTTAATTCCCGCATTGGAGATCCTTGAATAAAAATCGGTTATAACAGAGTTTCGTTGTCGGTGTCCACTAAAGTGAAAACAAATCGATTATAATCATTTAGAAAATGGATTATAAAGTTACTGTTTTTCGAGGCAACAAAATCCTTTTTTCATCCATTATACTCGATTTATTTTCACTTTTGTGGACACTGACAATGAAACTAAACTATAATCTATTTTTTCCACTTTAATGAGATGCGAATTTCAACGCACATAAAATCTTTTCTACGTTTTAAATTAAAATTGGTTAGGTTGGCTACTTGTCGTTCAATTGAAAGTTTTTCTACCTAACTCTGATAATTTTGTTACTTTTTTATATACTCAACATTACCCCCCCTAGCGTTTGCCCATTTACAACAATCCCCCCCCCCAACATAACGTGTTCAGGTGGGGCGTGGGTTCAGGTTGGGGATGGGTTCAGGTTGAGGGTGGGTTCAGGTGGGGGGGGGGGGTTGTTTTCAGGTGTAGGGGCTGGGTTCAGGTGAGGGTGGGTTTGGGTGGGGGGTTGTTTCGTGATGGGGGTATGTGGCTTTAAGCTGGGGGTGCTCAGGTGGGGGGGGGGGTTGTGTTCAGGTGAGGGGTTCAGGTGGGGGGGGGGGGGGGGGGGGCTAATGGGCTCAGTGGGGGGAGGGGAGCAAACGTTGGGCGCGGGGGAGAGCTCAACAGAATCATTTTGCAATTTGAGTTTAGGTTTTGAAATGGATTAGGCCAGGCCGTACACTCGCTTTGCAAAGTTCCCGCATCACTCACTTGATAAATGCTGAAATTCTTGCAAAATTTTGCACGACGCGCGAAACAAAAATAAAGTGGAAAAAAACCATTTTAATGTGACTTCCTACTTTTATAAAATCCATAATAATGGACTCAAAATGAATTATATTGCATTTTGTTTTGGCCGGAAAAACTTGGATTTAAATCCGTTTTCAGTCTAATTTTGTTGTCTGAACGTAACATGGGAATCGATTATATTTACAACATTAGAAACCACAAAAATCTCCGTTATAGTCGATTTTTTTTTTCACTTTTCTTGAATTCGGGTTGTCCCAAATTGACCAAAATGGCAAACTTTAAACCCCCGTCACTCCACGAAAAATAATCACAGGTGAAATATCTTTTCAAATTTGAGCTCAGGACAACAATTACGCATGGCTCTTTATCCCTCACCGTAAAAATGTAGCAAATTGAAATTGGGCAAGCTAATTGGTGACAGAAGGAAGAAAACAGAAGATTCGTGCTCGGTTTAGTTTTTTAACTAGCTTTCTTGACGGACTTTTTTTTCTACATCAGCCGAAAAATGTTGTTGTTCTGAGCTCAAATTGAACTGATGTGATGCTGTTTATTTGTTTTTACCTGTGATTTTTTTCCGTAAAGTTAATGAAGTTCGAATATTGCCATTTTGTAGCGCGTGATATTTTTCATGCTACTAAAACGTCAGCTGTAATTTAACATTTCATAAGTTCTGATGCAAATTGAGTTGTATCCTTTGTTTTGTTCTATGTGTGGGATTGAGGATGACTTTTATTGTTTTTTTTTGTATCCTGCGTCGTTTCATTGTATCCTGCGTTTTGTTCTATGGGAGAATGATCACATAGCGAGTGCAAAGTAATTTACATAGCGAGTGCAAAGTTTATTTTTTTTTGTATCCTGCGTAGAGACATCCTGCGTTTTGTATTCTGCGTATGTGTGGGGTTGAGGATGTTTTCATTGTTTTTTTTTGAAAATTTCATCAGTTTTTTTAACAATTATCAAAAAGGGCAGTCGTCGGAAAACACAAGGGTTTATATTGAAACTAGCAGTCTTTTTCTCTTGTGAGTTCAAATTTTGGATCAAAATATATCCTATGCTGTATACATCCTTTTCTACTTGAACTTTGTCGATTACCCGGTTGGTAGAAAGACCCCCGAAAGATTTTCTTAGCCGTGTCCTAAGCTGTGCTCAATTTTTGGATCAACATACATCCTATACGCTTTAAAGATCCCTTTTAATTACACGGTTGATAGAAAACCTTTCCGAGAGGTGTTCTAAGCTGTGTCCGTTGTTAAACAATCAGAAAACGAAAAGTGTTTGACTGCTTAAGCCTATCCAAAATATCAATTAATGTTTTTGTCCGTCTTTTCAAACAACAGAAACGAAATCGTTTATTGTTCAATTAATGAAAAATTGTGCATTAAAATTTCAATTTTTTTTTGATTGCCCGTTGAAAAAAAATTTAAGATAGTATCCTTTCAAACATTTAAGTTTGATTGCTAGGTGGGTTTTTAAATAATTTTTGTTCTTGATTCAGATTGAACGCTATAGTGCTTTTCTATTTTCTTCGTTGTGCTTAAAATACGCTCAAAAACCTCATAATTTTCTATGTTACTAGTAATTAATTGGTTGTTTGTGCTCTACCTGCTTTTGAAACGAAATTTAAAGCATCCACATTTAAAACTAACCGACAGGAATTGAGTTTATGTTTTCTTTCATCCCTGATCGCAATAGAAAAAAGAAATTGTTTGTAAGAAACGTTTAAATTATCCCCTTCAAGTACTTAGCTGCGAACTCCTAATCCTGTAAAAACTAGTTCAACTAATTTTCATACGTGAACTTTTTACATAGATCGAACATCTTTCCTTATTTTGCAAACAGATCCCTTATAAGCTCCATTTTTTGAACTTTTTCAACCATAATGAACTCAAGAACTGAACAAATGTGTTTTCCACTCAGATGAAAAAAAAACACTACATTTTTTTTTAGTTCTGCTTCCGCAATTACTCGAAATACAAGGATCAAATTTAAAAATTATGGTTGATCATACGAATTTTGTGACATGACCAAGCAAGCAGTGAGAAACATTTGAAAAAAAATCTTGTTACCAAACGTTACTCAGCTCGATTAAAAAACAGAAAGAAAAATTGAAGATTTGTTCTCTTTACTGCTTTTGCCACTTATACACACAATCTCAGGAAACGTTTAAGCCAATTGTATATTTCATAATCGGCTTGATAAAACTATCAACAAATGCAAACCCAGAATTTTTTTGATTTGTTATAATCAGCAAAACACAGCTGGTTTCAAAAACTCAAATTTTTATGACCATGGGCTTAAACATTTTTACTCTGTGTTTGGTTGCTAATGTGTAAATTAGGGCAAAGTTGAGGTAATTATCTTCTTAGAAAACTGAAGCTTTCCCTAAAAAAACCTTAAACTTTGGAACGATTTTAATCTTGTCAAAGACTTTCAACAACAAGCAGCAACACTTATCTGTTTATGATAATCTGGCTCAAAAAATACTTTCCATGTAATTTTGACTTACTGAAAAACTCAACAAAATGAAAAAATTTGGATGCTAAAACTGCGTTTACAATTTAAATTGTGTTTTTTTTTTGTATTCAAATTGTTCAAAAGACTCTTAACTAGTGCTTTATTGATCCTCAATTTATACTCTTAGCTCCATAAATTTTTGTTGTAATGTGTGTTGCTTCAAAAAACCAAGCTAACTACATTTTTGTTCCCAACTCTGAATATTTTTAATTACATTTTCCTTTCCCACTTAAAAATTTTACGAAGATTTCAGCAAAATTTTTTAAGCATAAACTCCAGAAAACTACCGCGCACTCTGAGTGTTGGCTTGATACGTAAAAAATGCTTAAAGGCTCCTCTGAGGTCAATATGCAACCAAATATCAAGCTATTTTTTTGTAACAAATGTCAAATTCAGAAATATAGATAGTCAAAAATTTTAAAAAAGTACGAACGACTCAAAGTTGTTAAACTTAGTTGTAGAGATGTTACCTGGCTAAACATTTAGAAAACTTTGAAAAAGTTACTTCTTGTAAGACGTTACTAAGCGCGATCATCAAACAGGGAAAACGAATTAAAGATTCAAATTAATGTAAAGTTTCGCCGCTTAAGTAAATCTCAGGAAGTTTCAAGCTAATTTTTTGCAGCGCAAAAATAGAGCGCAAACTCAAAGCTTTCTCTCTAAAGATCTAGAACGTGGTTTTCGCTCTTTTCGAAGACGCTTTGACAACAATCAGCAGCTCTCAAACTGTTTATGATTTTATGACAATCTTGCCAAAGATAGCCTGAAAGCAACACTTTCCAGTTGTTGATTCGGCAAAACTTTTAAACGGCTTTAAAAATACATTTGTTTTGATTAAGGAATGCAAAATGTTTCCATACATGATTGTTTTGTACTATTGAAAACTCAAAAAGTAAATAGTTTATATTGATGTTTTAGAAGAGATTTTTATAGAGAGCATCAAATACAATCAGTTTGCCTTATCAAAAGTAAAAGAATTATTTTGTCTGTTCCAGATGAAAATGGATTTCCAATTTCTGCCTGGCCGTTCACGGCCGCAAATCCATGGTTGATCCTGACAAATAACGTTCTTTTTAAACCAGCTATACGTCAAAAAGTCTCCGGGATTGTCAAATGGAATTTCAGGGGTCGAGTTTTTTCCAATAAAAAGTCGATATGGCGCTTCGGGAATAGCTGTTCTAAGAACACTTTGTCTCTGGCTGCGCTTCAATTTGCCGATACCAAATCCCAACTTTGTGATAACGTGAAACTTGCAAAAAGGCAGATAAAATGACTTTATGAGGTTCAGTGTTTTGTTCTCCACGCTGTAGTCTGTAAGTTTCAAGAAAAATTCTCTCGGAGTTTGGTTTGAC